ATAAATTGAAAAGTTATTTATTTCAAATTCGAATAAAGCTCGACTTCATCCATAAAACTTACGTATGACACCGAAAACGAATAGGATCTTATTTCATAAATCATGAAGTTCTTTTATGAACTATTTTTCCCTAACAGTTCTTAAGAACTGTTCTTCTTTGTCAACGAACAGTTCAATTACGTTTTTTTAAAAATATCAGAAACGCCCACCACTATTTGTGAGCTGAAACATATTATATAAAAAAAAATTATAAAAGGCTTAGCGAACCCGAAGTTTCGATGCTGACACCAGCAATCGCTTATTACACATCTTCCTCCACCGTTAGCCATCCAAATTCAGTCCATTCAGATCGGTTTTAAAGTAATCTTCTCACCTTCGCTTCGGTCTACCCCTCGAACGTTTATCATTCGGTACAGCAAATATTAATCTTTTAGGAATTCTTTTGTTACTAAGCTCAACAATTTTACAAGCCCATTTGATTTAACGATACAATCACCTCAATTATATGAACCGGAAACAGTTCACGCAATTCGGCGTTGTGTAACCGTCTGAAATCTTCGGTTAACTCATCCTTTTTCGGTCTGAATATTCTACGCAATACTTTGTTTTCAAAAACCTAATAGAAAAAATACCAACACAAATTAGTTAATTTGTATAATAAATATATATAACAATTATATTATTATATAAATAATATACGAGCCTTTCGGTTCACAGAATCCAATTCAAACATTTTTGATTATTAATGTTAGTGGTATTTCTATTTGGAAAATTTATAATATCTGTACTGACAATGAGTAAGTTGGTTCCAGAGTATGTGATTTGCAGTGTTGAAATCTAGAACTGTGTAAAAGGTATATATTTTCTCATTAGGAATTAGTTAGTCATTCTGTAAACTGAAAGGCTTATATATAATAATATAATTATTATATATGTTTATTTTTAATGAAATGTTTACTATGTAGTATAAATAAATAAAAATCGTAAGATGTGAAAAAAATGGATGTTGGATGCGAAATCTGTAAAACTCCATAATGCTTTGAAGTGAAGTCAGCGTCAATGATAAAGTAATCAAAGAGTGATAGCAGGGTAACGATGAGTCAAGACGTTGGTAATTAGAGTATGTTTATTATTTTTTAGGATATGATATAAAAGTTAAGGCAAATTGGCACACACACACACACACGTATATATATATATATATATATATATATATATATATATATATATATATGTTAAATGTTTTTTTAAAAAACGAACCTAAATATTTAAAAAATTGGGATGAAAATAAGTTTATTTCAAAAACCAACCGTTTTCTTTTTTCAAGGAATGCAATGATACCTTCTTAACGTTCTTAACGCTTTTTTATTCTAATGAAAATTTAAAAAAAAATTCTTTTTATTCTACTACTATCGTAAAAATTCAAGTTAAATATTTATCGTTATGCTCTCTTTTATTCAAATAAAAATTAAAAATTAGACAAAAACTAAATGCATATATATACCTACTTAAATCCATTTGGACATTCCCCTCACAGAGTTACGATTCAGCAAAAAAGACCTACTAAAACTACTACGTTTCCAATCCAAAATTTTATGACTACCTAACATTACATACTTACCTGCTTCAACTGTCGACCAACACATGCATACTCCCTACTCCCGATTTCATATTAAACTAACACGGACACAACATCAGACTTATCAACGGCTGACACGCCCATCAGAAGGTGACTGAAAAGGATTTGGATGAGAGACCTCCTTTCTTGAATCAAGGAAATAAACAATGACCTGGACGAGGTGCCGGTTGCTATCCTTCCTTTTCTATATACCCTATAATACCCATCATCCAACACAAACAAATCTGCTGATGACCAGTCTCATGAAAGGTGCGAATAAATATTTAGAGAGAAAGAATTTTTTTAAGTGAAAACTTCTTTAGGGGGGTTTTGCGCTTTATTTGTGGAGAATGAATTAGATTGAGCCGTAGGTCTAACGCTCGGGTAAAGTAGGCTGAAGTCGACTAATTTAAGTGTTTTTGCATTTGAATTAAAATATCTCAAAAACTAAAAATCGGACTTGCATACTGTAAGCGAGATAATTGTTCAGCATTTAATTCTCTCTGCAATGGGCTATTATCTTATCAACACGACGCCGCGTTAGAGAGGCGAAAAGTAAAAACAAAATAGTGTCGACAACCAAATCAGGTTAGGTTAGTTTATTATTTTTATGGACGTTCAGCAGCTTATGTCTTTAGTGTCCTTCTTCTAATTATATTTTCCATATTATTTATGTTTTTCTATTATATTTTATTGAACATATAATTTTTTTTTTAAGGAAATCGATTATTGTTTCTACATTGGTGCTGTTATCTCCTAATATGTTTTCGAGATTTCGTTCTATTTCCACAATATCATATTCCAAAAAGCCATCCTTTCGCGTATATGCACTTGACATTAATTAAAAAATATAATTTCGGTGAATCAAGAACTTATTTTTGTCAGGTTTTTAAAGCTGAATGGCTCAACCGATTTGGATCAGTTTTCGCATATTTTTTATTCAAAAGCGCAAAAGCGCAAAACAAAAAATATCAGCATTAAACTGTTACCATCAATCTCGAAACCAAATGGTAGATGTTCTTTAACACTTGATTTGATTTTTATTTTATTTTATTTATCTGAAAATAAAATCAATAGGTATAGTTTCAGAGGGTCTATTTTTAAACAGTTTCAACCAATCGGATGAATACATAGTACTTCAGAGGACTAGCTATATTTAATTTGTTAATTGAGAGTTTCAGTAAGCTTAGAATCAACTACCTCCAATAAAGATTCAAATAAAGAAAAACAAATGTAGTTTTAATCTTTTCGTCGCAGTTGCTAATCCCAAAACTAATATATGATTCTTAATCTGTTAAATAGTTTTGTTTAAGTAAGGATTCTATTTTTGACTTCTTATCAAAGGCGAATCTTCAATATTTCTTTGAGGTTATCTTAGAAAAACACTTCTACTTGAGTGTTTTCAGATGCGAATCGGGTTTCCTTGTGATTTGCGTTACGCAATAGTTATTTAAAAATGTCATTGCTAACCAAATGGTTTTAAGACAGATATTATAGATAAAGGCTCGTTGAATTTACCTGTGAATTCCTAGTATGTTTTAAAATTATTTTAAGGAAGTAAAGAAATGAATGTTCATTAAAACGTACTAATCTTTTATTTCTAACAAAGTCAGTTTCCATTATTCCAGATAATTTAAGGCTATGCATATTGATGAGACAGTGCTATGTTAGTCAAATAATGTATGATTTATTCAATGAGTTTGTAGTACGTCATTACCGAAAATAGCTTCAAAATAAATTGCAATTTCATATAAAATCATCTATCATTTTATTCTTTTTGAAGGTGATACTATTAATCTAATTATTTGTCGTTTTTATTTATCAATTTGGTATATTGAAAGGGTATAGAGAACTTGATTTAAAGTAATATTTTATGTATTTATGTTATCTTTATTCTATTACAGCGCGATGTAATAGCGATTGACATTAACCAAAATTCGAAGTGTCTAAAACAACTTTGAAGTAAATCGTGGTATGTTTTGATGCAATTCTGAAGGGTTTTAATGATAATATTTTGATAAATTTGTGTGAATAAGAAAATTGGATGCTTCATTTATAAGGCGCAAAATTTGATGTAAAATTGTTTCAAACTCAGTGATAATGCTATTTAAATTATCTTTTTCATACCAGACTGAAACGACAAGAAACCGCTCGACATTTCCGATTACTTCAGCACTTTACTAGACAAACGCTCTAAAATTCCAATTAATTACAAAAGACACATATACATGACTATAATAAGGCCTATTTGGACTTAATAGTTGAGCTATGGGGCTCCACTAAACTATCAAATTCCTGTCGAATCCAATCCTTACAATCCAAAATCCTTCGTAAAATCCTCAGTGCTCCCTACTTTATTACAAATAAAACCATCCACAATGACCTTAATGTTTCTTATGTTTCAGATCTGACCTAATCCAGATACCTATCCTTCCATAATAAACTTCAGAATCATCCCAACCTTCTAGTTTCTGACCTTGCTTCCTCTTCAATTACTGATAACCCTCCGAAACGTCTGAAAAGAAGAAGGCCTCGTGATCTTCTAATGTGGACATATCATTAGAGTGCTACCATTGGGTAGTTACTCAACAAGTGTTTTCACGTTATTATATCTATATGTTCAAATTTACTAAATGTATTTCTTTAATACAGTTGTAAAGATCGTTAAGAAATAATAAAAAAAAATAAATAAATTATCTTTTACAGTATTTATAGTAAGCAAGATTTACACACTTTCATTTAATTACAAAAGAAAACCAATTTGTCAGAAGTGTGGAGAGAGAATGATAGTGGTCCTATATCTTCGTGACTTTTACCTTTTACTTAAACAAAAGAGGAATACCAGCAAATAGAATACGGCGGCTGCTTTGGGAAATTATGAAAAAATCTTTTGTTTTCTCTCTGAAAAAGGAATCTTTAAAAATCTCTGAAACTCTCACGCAGCACTCCCCACCTCTTTGATTTTTCCTTTTACCTTTTTTTTTTTTTACTTAACGAGCTTACTTAAAATAACTAAAATTTAATAACCGTGAACAACTTTAACCTTAACGTGCGTTTTACGTCTTTTTAATTTAATTTTATTCCTATCATTCACAACCAGGAGATATAATTATACATAATTATAATTAACGACGTTGATGACCGGTTTTACTCCTTTACTATACAATAACCAACTAACCATATAATTATTACAAAATATTTAAAAGATAAGATAAATAGCATTATAATTGAGTAGCCAACATTTTTCGGGCCATATAAATTTAAGCTCCCAAATTTTGAACATATTAATTTAAATTTTACCATTAAAACCTTTTGGAATTGCTTGGAAGCAGACTATGATATACTCCGAAACCCAAACAAACCGGCAAAAAAAGACCTTTGGGAAATAATATACAAGAGTTCTTAAGGTTTATTGATTTGTGAATGTTGTGTGATGCACCACACCGCATTTTGTATGTTATCTTATCAAAGCTTATCCCAAGTTTAATCCGAAATCGTAATTCTCCTCGTAGCACGCCTTCCCGCGAAGGAGCCTTTCAGTTTGTGCTTGGCATTAGTCAGCGGGCTACGTCAGGCGGGGCTCCTGTTGACCACAGAACTGCGGGGAGGGGAATGTTGCGTGGCCTCAAGTTTGTGACAGTCTTCGTGCGTTCGGTTAGCGGGGTCAGTGCTTGTCTGGGATCGACGGAGGTGCGAGGAGGTTCCTGACACACGAGATCTGAGAAGCAGTAAAGGAAAGGTAATGGAGCTACTTAGTTATTGATATGCTTCCATTAATAATATAAAATCCATAGTTATGAAAAAAAAGTTATTCCAAGTTGCTTAGAAGCTTAAATTTTTAAAAATAAAATTTATTATGAACGGAAGCTGGTTTAATTTAGCAAAATTAAAAATTTCTCATAACATAAAAAAAAATTATATTATTATATTGTTTCTGAATCAGTAATTTTTCAAAACTACAATTAAATGTGTTTATTTAAAAAGAATGGACAAGACTCTTAACCACAAGAAAACATAACTGTCTGAATCTCAATAAAGTTTTGCATCTCCTATTAACACATAATTATAATGTGCTAAGTTGGCATTTTAATTATTTTAAAAATGAAATACAATAAGAGTTGACTAATGTTGGATTACACAAGTCTTTAAACAAATTTTACATTTTAAAACTTTGCCGAAGAAATACTAAAACCTAAAAGCTGTATAATATCTTATATTTTTGGAGTAGTTTTATTTTAGTTTAAAAGAAAAAGAAAACATTAATTAGTTTGTTTATTGAATTTAATAGTCAATCACAACTAGCAGATAATTAAAAAATAAATACTTTGTACCGTGTACATTAGTTCCGTATAAAAATAGTAACAGACCGGTCATGAGAAATGTTGAATAAGGATCTCTTACTTGAACGAGTCCTTACGTAACACACGCGCGAACTTTTTCATATTTGATTCTGAAGTTCAACTTCATAAGGAATGCTGATGAGAAATCGTATATACAATGATAATAAAATTGGTAATGAAACTTTTATTATAACTTGATCTGTAAGATATTTTTAATAAGAAATTTCTGTTAAAATTTATTGTTGTCATTATAAATTATTTCAATATTAAAATGGTGTGATTTTATTTCTTGCCATCTAAAAGTATACATGTTTTCAGCAAAAATGACTAGAATAAATTATTGCAAATTTTTTATTTCTTGTATTTTCATAACCTGGGATGTATTATAATAAACGTAATTGCCTAATTACACTTTTTATTTTTATAAAAAAAATGATTTTTCGATTATTCATAATCTGAAGTGGTAATGAAACTGTGTTTATAACTAAGATCTCTATTATAGGAATTGGTATTTATAATTGACGGAATTTATGTTTTTAGTACTATTTAAATAAAGAAACTTGTATCAATTATTTTCATTAAAACATAAAAATTATGAATAGAATTATTTATTTTGTCACTTATAAATAAGGATCGATTTCTATAATAGAGATCTTTATAATCAACACAATTTCATAAAAACATTACCTGAAAACTATTTGAAGAATCATTATTGTTAACATTTTTTTAGAAATAAGAATTGTTTTTAGGCACTTATGTTTACTATAATATATCCCCGGTCATGGAAAAACAAGAAAAAAAAATCTTTGCAATAATTTCTTGTTATCATTTGCTGAAAACACGAGGTGACAAGATATAAAGTCTTATAATTTATTTACACAACTTGAGGTTAATCTCTAAGTTTTCTCTGATAAACCTCAACTTAATTAGTATGGACTAGAAGCTTATTAACCGAGGAAGTTTTTATAAAAGTGGGGTAAATAATTCGTGAGTTGTAAATAGCCGTTCAAACTACTTTCATTTCAAGTTAATTTCGTCTAGTTTAGTGAGAAGCATTTATTAATTACTTAAATTAAATATTGTTTTAGTTATCGCTCCCTATTCGACAAAAACGTGACGTACTTCAAAATAAAAAAAAAACATAGAACTTAAATTTTATACTTTTTTGCCGGAAATCGGACCAATTTTTACATGAATTTGTTTTGTAGCTCTTGAGATCCGCTATCATTCCTTTCTCTCTCAAAAAAAAAAAAAAATTCTCTCAACTTATGGGACACACTTTATATAATATCGACCCATTAATATTGATAAACTGTTTTTCCTGGCCTAGGTTCACATGAGTGAGTGAGAATAGTTGAACATGAATACACTGACCCAAAATAAGTGACTTATTCGCATAACGCATATTCTGTTTATAAAACAATTTTCAAAATGTACATGTACAGAAAATATTTGAAAATATTCTCGATGATCCAACATCTCGTCATTGCGTGTATTTTCTTTTCTGAATTCGCATTATTCGGGCATTTGTTAACTTTTTTAGAAGGGAGTTGTGAACTTCTACAATCTTGAAATTAATTTTCAAATTTACTGGTCTATTTTACTTGATATATATATATATATATATATATATATATATATATATATATATATATATATATATATATATATATATATATATATATATAAATATATAATATATAAATATAATAATAAATAAAATATATAAATATATAATAAAATATATATTTATAATAGATTTCATATATTTATAAAATATTATTATATATTTATATATTTTATATATTATATATATAATATATAAAATATATAAATATATAATATATAAATATAATAATAAATAAAAAAAAAAAAAAATATATATATATATATATATATATATAATAAAAAATATAATATATAAATATATAAAGTATTTATTAGTTCATTTTAAATGTCTGACAAACAAGTTTCCAAGAGTTCAAGAATCTTTGTATGTAGTTTTTAATTACACAAAAACATTTATTATTAGGATTTGTTTTACAACGAAAAATATAATTTTGATATGAGTTTTTTAGAATGATTATCTGAATATTTAGTTGAAGTCTCTAATAAATAGATCTATACAAAGTAATTGAAATTTTTATTATAATACAAAGTATTAGCGTAAAACTGTAACTAAACTGAAAAAATTTATTTAATAAAACTGTTATATAGAAAATAAATAGTTCCAAGCAATTTTTGTCATTTGAAAATTAGCAGTGAAATCCCCGAAATCATGAAAATCGTGACAATCAAAATAAATTATTATTATTACTCACTAAGTAAGTTATCGATTATGAATATGGGTTCCTGATTAATAATAAATAATTGGCTATAAATTTAAATTAAAAACACTACAAATTATTTTACAATTGTTTATTATTTCCAAACAATTATACATTTAAAGTAACATTACCTTCGTAGGAACAAGGAATAAAAGATGATTCCTATTATTGACATATATATTTTTTTTTCGTCATTAGTAATTTGCTAAAAACAAAAACAATATTTCAGTAACACTTTCAAAAATCCTAAACCAAAATAAAGGATATAACCATTGCAGTAGAACCATTGCACGTTAGAAAAAATATCTAGAGTCCATATCTTTGCTCTAAATCGCCCGATTGTTTTGTGTTTTAGGAAATTTCATAAACTCTCAAATAACCATAAAATATCAACAAAAAAGTACTTTTTGAGTTGTCTAATTTTACCACCCATTGTAACTTTTTCTCCAGTTTCTTTTTGTTGAAGTATGTTATTTGGATAAATTTAAAGGGCATCGAGAAGAAGAGTTTAGTTAAGTTTCATTGAAATCGGTACATTTCTGTAGGCGTTACAGTCAATAGCAATACAGGTATTTCGGCCCTCACCTTGAAAGGGAAAGGTGGATAGTAATTTCGATGTAAGAGGATCATCCTCAGATGACCTTTGATCTTAAATCCAAAATTGAAAAAAAAATTGGTTCAGTAGTTTCGGAGATAATGCACTGACGGACAAAAAAATGTTTATTCGATTTTCGAATTCTACGTATCCTGTAACGTAAAACCTCAAATTTTGAAAGGGGGGGGAGAAATAAAATTTGTGCAGAAAATGTTCTTTTGTCTCTTTCAGTTTTCTCTTCAGGACGTAGGAGCCTTTAACTGTTTACTGGTAACTATACCTATATCTACGATACTGTTTTACCATTATTTAACTTTAATTTAATTTTCAAAAAATGAAATTTATTCTCTTCTTCCACGAATTTATCAGATGATTTAGAACGATTCTTTACTGTAGAAAAAAAAATACTACGTTCCCTTCCTTTCAGATATGTACATTTATTGATAATTAGAGAAAAAAATAATATCTTCTTAAGAAAAAATATGTCTAAGTTTAAATTACGTATGCATAATTAAAGCATGCAAACTTAAAACTTTAAATATAGTTAAAATGTAAGATTATATCTCTATTGTGATTATGCCTTATTCTTCTCTAATGATATGTTCTACATTTTCCTACCATGTAAAATATATTTGAGTTAATCACTTACTCCTTCTCAAATGATGTACATTTATTAGATATGACCTATATGATAAGGAAATCGTGTTTGCCCAAATTTCTACCACAGTCGCCACATCCTATATTCTATTTAAAATATCTTTAGTTACAAGGATCCTTTTTATCATTTATCAGACGTAGCCATTCATAAAGTTACGATTATCTCTTCAATTAAATTAAATACCTCATTTGAATGGCCATTTCTTATTTTATGAATTTGTTTGTTTAATTTTTAATGCATACTTCAGAAAAAATATGTAATTTTTTTCAAGTAGCGTTTTTATATAGGATATATATAGGCTAGTCCAAAATTGATGAAACAATTTAAAAATCGAGCTTTCTGATAAAATTGTAATCATAAGCTCTTGCAGTATGGCTGCCGTAGATTTTTTTTTTTTTAAATCTGCTTGTTAAATATGTGTGCGACCACAAAAAATTAAAAAAAGTTTTATGTTAAGCGAAATCAAGGTTTAGATCAAATAACAGTTTTTAAGACGTTGTCATTCATAAAGTTATGATAATTTCTTCAATAAAATAAAATAATTCATTTGAAATTAATAGTGCACTGTTTTTTGCGAGCTTGATCGATTTTTGAAGTACCAGAATGGATCTTTAAATCAGTATGAGAGCTTTATTGTCTTGTCTGGGATTTTTTTAATGAGTCTTAAAAAAAAAATTGTCTGCATAGCGAATTTTCGAGTGCGGTTTAATTTCTGGAAGTAATCTAGAATAATTTGAAACATTTCATATATTAACTGTCCTTTATTCAATTTTTTAGAAATTACGATTCCTGCTAAATAAGCTGTCACAATTTTTATAA